CTTTCTTTTCAGACATTTTCTTCGACTTTGGCCTTTCCTTTTTATTGGCTTATTTCTTCTTCAACACCAATTCTCTTTCTTTCTTTCTTTCTTTCTTTCTTTTCTATCTTCGAATTTTTCCAGGCTTATCATTCTTTCCTTATTTTTCTAATCCTATATTTGCTCTCCTTTATTTTACATCTTTCTTCTACGTCTTTTTCTTTATTATTTGATAATCTTCTTCTTCTTCTTCTTCTTCTTCTTCTTTATCTTCTTCGTTCTTTCTTCGTTATTTCGCCTTCTTTTTCTTCTTCTACATCTGGTTTTCATTTTTTCTATTTTATCTTTCCTTTTTTATTTTTACATTCTTTTTCATTCATCTTCTTCGTCTTCTCCTTCTACTACTACTAATACTACTACTAATACTACTACTAATACTACTACTTCTTTTTCTTATTCTAATTCTTCTTCTACGTTTTGTCCTCGTAATTTTACATCTTTTTTCTATATTTATGTTCGTTAATTTACATTTTTTTGTTCCTCTTCATCGTCTTTTCAACGTTATTTTGCCTTCATTTTCTTCTACATATTTTTCCTTACTTACGTATTCCTTCCATGTCTTTTCTTTTTTTATATTTACTTTTTCTTTTCTGTTTTCTTCTCATTTTATATTCTTTCTATCGTTTCTTCTTCTTTTCTACGTCTTTTCTTCATTATTTTTCCTTCTTCTTCTTTTACTTTACGTTATTTATATCTCTCTTGTATGACTTTTCTTCGCTATCTTATATCTTTCTTCTTCTTCTTCTTCCTCCTCCTCCTCCTCTTCTTCTTCTTCAATCAAGAGCCGAATCAATGATGCTTTGATGCAGAGCACCCCTCTCCTCAAATTCTTGGAAATTTCTGTCTTAAGGCCATCTGCAGATTACCTTTTCTTTCCAAGAGCAGACAATAAAACTTTCATTTTTCTTTTTGTTTAATCTTTTTTCTCTTTACTTTCCGGAAAGAAGACATCCATCTTGAATTTACATTGATGGGAATAATCACGCGAACAACCGTTCATTTTCGGGAGAGTTTTTTTTTTAACTTTTTCCATTTTCGTAAATATATTTTCTCTTCGACAACGTACGCTCAGCAATCAGGCAAAGCCAGTTCATTTCGAACATCTTAGAATATCATTCGATTTCTATGCATTGCAGGACTTATCAGATGAATGGGACAAAATGATAGATTATAGAGAAAATTCCCATCAACTCTATTTTAAAATATGTGGTAAGGGTTAGCGAGTTAGTCTGGTTAGCCATTACTACGAAATTGTTCGTTTCATTCTCATTTGGGGGCCATATATTTGTGGCTATCTTGCAAACTATGCTAAGCTTAGTAAAAACTTTTGGGCATCTAACTCCGACATGGGATAATGGTTAGCAAACCATTCTAGATCCTCACTGGGTGACCAGTATTTACCTATTGCAGATACTCAAATATAAATAGCTATCCCCGAACAACGTAAATGCTTACAGACTCGAATATAATGGACCG